TTTTGAACGGAATGCATTTAAAGCGTAGTCCAGGCGGAGCAGTTCATAAGCAGGAAGACTTTAAAACAGAAGTGCCCCTTTGTGCAAACCTCATGACAGTGTTGAATGGTTCGTACATGCGACGCTGAATGTGGAGCGGGTATTCGTGTATGTGAGTATGTTTGGTTTATGTGTGTTGTTCATAGCTTCGGTGGTGAAGAACGAGCGGCAGGACACCACCTGTGACGTCGTTTAGCATATTCAGCCATACATACGCACGCACGCAACGGATCCGTGATTTTTTCTTTTGGTAAAGGTGTCTTTGAGGTTTTGAAGTGAATACTTCAATTGTGCTTCTCTTTTCTTTTTTGTTTGGGGTGGGGGGGTTATGCGGAGCCGTATGTCGTGACATGTCTCTCTTCCTCCCACTATTATGTTTTGTTTTCGTTTTCTCTGGTCATAGTTCGAAGCAGCGCGCGCGAGAGAGAGAGAGAAAGGAACAAGTCGGTGGGAAAAGCATCTCACACAGTAAAGCGGGTGAGTGAGTGAGTGAGTGACGGAGCGAAGTGTGCCGCGGTTGGTCCTTTGCTCATTGCGTTACACGCACACACACACACGTTGACTCCCTTTCGCTCTCTTTGGGCCTTACTCGCGTGCGTGACGGAACAAGCAAAGCTAGGGGCGCCGCGTGCCTTTGTGTGTGTGTGTGTGTGTGCGGCATCTCTTGCCCTCACTGTCTTGCTTATCGCCCGTGTCTCGCCGAAGGTGAGAGACACCACTGCGCTTACTCAACGCGTGAGTGGGTGGGAGTGAGAGAGTTGAGAGTCAAGAAGGTAGAAATCCACAAAATCATCCGGGGACCTTTATTTTTTTTTTTTCCTCCGTGTGCGGGTGTGTCTTGGCGATCTTCACAGTGCGTGGGTGAATGGCGGGACTCACATCTGACAACATCTCCATCACCTCTGCGCGGCAGTTCGGCTCCGGCAAGGACCGCAATACATGCGTCTTTTGCGGCAAGAAGTCGGTGGCGCCGCCCACCGATCCGTTTGCTCCAGTCTTTGCGTTCTTCTCCCTCGTAGACTGTCGCCACTACGTGTGCCAGCCGTGTGCGCTTGTCAACTGTGACAACGGCGGTCGCTACATTCGCTGCCCAACGTGTAACGCTGTCTCACGCCTCGCGCAGACAGGACGGAAGCGTACTGGCACTGATGACGCTCGCGTGACGATTGACGACGGCGTGTCGTCAATGGCGTCTTTTGCGACGCGGCGCTCAGCGCTTCCGCTGGCTGATAGCCACCCGCCGAAGAGCGCCTTTGCGAAGGGAGACCGCAGCAAGAAACGTGCCTTCTCAGTGCAGTTTCGGCAGGACCCGACAGCCTCCGTCGTGCCGCCGCCCGGCGCAGGCAGCAAGAAGGGCAGCAGCAACAACACTGGCGATGCGCAACCTGACAGATCGCCGCTAACGCTGGATGCGGTAGAGAAACTGCCAGAGGACCCGATTTACGCCCGTCGCGAGCGGCAGAATGAGAAGGCGTCACTTGTAAGTGAGGAGAAACCTATTGCTGTGAACCTCTACTCCATTAAGGGGTCTGGTTCGCCGCGTCGACGGTCGACCGCGGACCGCGCACGCAGTGTGCCACTGCCGCCCACTGAGCACCGCTACCTTGCGCCCCCAATACCGTTTGCGCCGCCGCCGCCGCTGCACATCCACACCGTCGAGGAGGAAGAGACGGCAGCGGCAGAAGCAGAAGCAGATGCACGTCGGCCGCTCACCACCCTTGCCGCGGAGATAGAGACGAGTCTGCGGGCCACATTGGAAAAGGAGGAGCAGGAGCGGTCTACTATTGCGGTGGCAGAGGAGCACCGCCGCAACGCTGTTGCCAAACAGCGGGAACAGCAAGAGCGTGAGCACCTTGCCGCACGCGGGAAACTCGACAACGAGTTTGATGTTGGGGTTAGCCCCCGTACACCCCTTGACGTCTCCGAGGGCCAGGTGAGCGTCACGTCCGACGACGAAACTCCACATACCTCCGCTCAGCAACAGACCGAGGAGCAACAGTCACCCACTCAAGTACAAGAGGTGGCGAAACCTCCGTCTCCAACTGAGGTCGTCCCTAAACCTCTCGACAAGACCGCGCTTGAAGAGGAGGTGTCTAGACTCAAAAGCGCTGGGGACGCCGATCCACGATCAATCAAGGCATTGGAAGAGAGGTTGGTCGTGCTCCAGCAAGAGGAGAAGCAGGAAATGCAACAGCAGCTAGGGGTCCTTAAGAGCTGTGAATACATTGACCCGCTTGCAATTAGGGAGCTAGAAGAGAAACTAGAAGCACTGCAGAAAGAAGAAAAGCAACGTCTGGAAGAGAGGCTCCAGGCACTGAAGAACAGCGACTATGTTGACCCATGGGCCATCAAGGCACTGGATGATAAACTAACAGCACTGAAACAGGAAGAAAGGCAACGTCTGCAGGAGCAACTGGAGGGCCTCAAGAGTAGTAGCTATGCTGATCCACAGGCAATCAAGTCACTAGAAGAGAAGCTAGAAGCGCTGCAACAAGAGGAGATGCAATCTGTGCAGGAGCAGTTGCAGACACTCAAAAAAAGCGGTTATGCCGATCCACGGGTAATCAAGGCATTGGAAGAAAAGCTGACGGCGCTGCAACAGGAGGAAAAGCAACGTGTGCAAGAGCACCTGGAGGCCCTCAAGAGCACCGGTTACGCCAGCCCAGGGTCAATTAAGAGGCTGGAACACAAGCTTGCATCTCTTCAGGAGTTGGAAAAAGAACTGGTGCGGGAGCACTTGGAGGCCTTAAGGAACAGTGGTTATGCCGATCCACGGGCAATCAAAGCGTTGGAAGAAAAACTGGAAGCTCTGCAGCAGCAGGAGAAGCAGCAGGTGCAAGACCAGCTGGAAGCCCTCAAAAGCAGTGGCTATGCTGACCCAATGACCATCACGGAGCTGGAGGAAAAACTTGCGTTGCTGCAAGAAGCGGAAATGCAACAGGTGCAGAAGCACTTGGAGGCCCTCAAAAACAGCGGTTATGCCGAACCACATGCCATCAAGGCGCTGGAGGAAAAGCTTGCATCCTTGCAGGAGGTGGACATACCCGAGGTGCAGCTGCAGGAGCAGCAAGAAGAGGATCAGCTGGAGATTCTAAAAGGCAGTGATTATGTTGACTCTGAGGAAAGCGAAAAGACGGAAGAGGAGGAGCTACAAAAGCCAAATCAACAAAGTGTCCCGATGTTTGCCTTTGAGGTGATGTCGCCAACCCATGTCCTGATTGCGTTGATTGAGAACGAGGTAAGGGAGAGGCAGATGATTGAGGGTGTGGAAATGATGGAGCGGCGCACGTTGCAAGGGGTCCGTGCGCAGGACGAGTTGGAAGTGAAGGCGTCACTCCTGCAGCGGCACTCTGCCCATCGTGCGGCGCAGGCGGTGACAGAGTACCATGCGTACGTTTCCACTGAGTTGAGAGAGCTCGTCGAGACAGAGGAGTGGCGCCGCGGCTTTATTGACGACCTGCAGCGCGAAGGGTGGTCGCGCATCTGCAGTGACTTCCGTACTGCGCTGCAGGTACGCTTTGAGGAAGAGTTCCTCCGCTCGTCGGAGCGGCGTCACGCGGAGCTGACACGTGCGTTTTTTGCAGTGGTGGCGGAGGAAACGACAGGCCGCATGACAGTGGAGCAGGCAGCGCTGGATGACCTCACGAATTTGCGTGTGTGGTGCCTCGAGCAGCTTGTCGATTGCCAACGTCGGTCGCAGGTGCATGCGCTGCAGCAGGGCGTCTCACGTTTGGTGGCCGAGCGGCAGCTACAGTTGCGGCAGCTGTGCGACCTCACAGAGGCGGAGGACAGTGAACGCTGGAAGCTGCTGGAGAGCGAGCAGCAACTGCGTCACACAGCGTGGGCGCAGTTCCTGTCGGGGATGCCGTTCATTGCGGCGTCAATGACAGCTCCGCCCGGCCTGGCGGTGTCGTCGACAACGTGCAGTGTCCCGTATTCCTCGTGTGCACCTGCAGTGTCAAGTTCCTCGAGGACGTCAACATCTGTCGTGGCACATTACCTAGCAGCACTGGTTGAAGAAGAGGAGTTAGATCGGCTGGAGCTAGGGCAGGCGGAGCGCCATGCGCGGCACAATTTCAAGAACTCATTCCTCTCTGACTACCGGCGTCTCAAAGCGAAGGAGGTGGCATTGGGGAAAGCATACATTGATAAATCGCTCCTCCAGCGCGCTGTTGCAAACAATCTACGGCGTCTCGAGCTTCAAGAGGAGGAAGAGCGAATTGAATTGCAGCAACGGTCCTGGGCTTCGTATCGCCGCCTTGTTGGTAAAGCGTCTGAAGAGCAGCAGCAGATAGAGACAATGGAGCGGATGCTGCGCTCCATCGCGGAGCGGTCAAAGAATGTACTCCATCGTTGTTTCAGTGAGGTGCAACTCGCGCTGGGAGATGAGGAGGTGCATGACCGCAGCAACATAAAGACTCAAGAGCGTCGTGCACGCATGCAGCTCTACAATGAAGCGGCAAAACAGGAAGAGCTGCTGCGTGCATCGATGCAGTTTTCGCGTGAAACATCTGGAATACAGTTCCTCGACGCAATGGATGCCGCAGTGCGGCAATTCACATCTGAGACAATGTGTATCGCGCAGGAGGAACACGTGGAGCGGCTAGCGCTTGCGCAGGCAGAGCGTCTCGGGCGCCTCTCCATCAAGCAGTCATACGAAGAGGCGCAGCTACTGCAGCAGAACACAAGCGACGTGCAGAAGAAGCTGGCGGACCTCCACTTCGCGCTCGAGACAACAACAGCTGCTAGCGCGTGGCGTGCGCGCCTCGCCCTTGTGGA